CATAGTTACCGAATCAGACCGTTTGGTTACCGAATCAGACGTCGACCGAGTGTATTGTTCCGAAGTGCAAGATGTTTATAGATTTTATAGTCATAGTTTATAGATTGATCCATACGTTTGTATATATATATATAATGTTTATATGATCAAGAAAGATCAGACCTGAGATTCTGCACGAAATTTGAGTGCATTTTATGATGATGTCTAGTGGTGAGGATTTGCTGTGCTGATGTCGGTTTCTGCGTTCTATGCGAGGAACACTCCTGCAGGAATTAATGATTTGAAGATATTTGTAGTGTGTATAATATACAGAATTTGAGACTGCTCTGAAACACTTGTGTCCCAGAACAACACCTACAACACTGCATGAAACTCATCATGCCCATCATGCCATGCGGACTGCACTGATTGCAAACTGTTGCAAACAGCAACAACAATCGGGCAACAAATGCTCCAACCCCACGAGCCTCGTCTCAGCTGAACCGAGCAGGTTCAGCTTCAAGATGACTGGCCCTACTTGCAGGTGCCGATCGGATTGCGTGTGTCGACTCCCTTCATTATAGTTGCAAACAAGTCAACTTGCAGGGACTGTGTTTGAGTCTTTGGGCATTCAATCTTCAACCAGTCTGACTTCCCCACACAAAGTGGATCACACGCTGCCACTTTCAAAGGCACATCCAAACAAGAGCTTTCTACGCAAGCCGCAGCAAATGACAGCTTTAGAAACGACACTCTTCGCAAACCAGTTTGCGCATTAGTCATTGGTTGTGCGAAGAACAATCTGTTGTCCAGAACACACGTTAGCTGCTGGCTGATGCTTTTTTGAATTGATCACTTGTCACACCAATTTGATTGGACAGGGAGCCATGCGGTTTCCCCTCCAGGAATCTTTATGGAGTGTGTCATTTCGTCCCCATGCAATCGCATGGCTTCGTGCTCATTGAGAGACATGCAGATGTGAGGTGGATGTTGAGTTCGACCATGAGGGCTTGTTGATGGATGGCGGGAGCTGGACTTTTGCTTTCGGTTTGAAGAACGGAAGCACGGTTCACTACCGTGGTGACGAGACTTGGCGCAACGTGCTTGCATTGCAAGGTTCACCTGTCAAGCGTGGAAACAGCGGTGGGAAACAGCAACAACTTACAAATACACGTTCTTCAGATTCAGATGGAGTTATTACTGTAGCTGTTGGTTTCATGCAGGAAAGACGGGGGAGAGGCGTTCTGGAATCGAACCGCAGCCCCGCGGCTCCACCTCAAGGAACGCCTTGGTGGCTATGATGTTTGCTGCGACTTCCTCCGCGACTCACGGTGTCAACGAAACACTATGTTCACCGTTCAGCCGCTTCTTCTGCACCTTGGGCTAGAGATTTTTGAGAACCGATGATAACGGATGAAGGTGAAGAGACTTGCGCCAATAAGTGACGACATGAAGGCTTTGAAGATAATCGAAGACGGTCGAATTGGAACCGAACTATACCGAACTAAGGTCCAAAGGGAATTCATCCGAATCTTCACCAACATGTCGGTCTCCTGGGCAGTGTGCAGACCTTACCGGCAGCTGGAAACGAGACCAAGCAGAAGCATATTTCCTATCGACAGCTGGAACAGTCTGGAAAAGTCCCTCTAAACCGCCAGCCTTTCAGCAGTTTGAGGTGACGCAGGGACTTATGCCATTTCAGATTGCCCTTAGCCCGCCCGTGTTGCAGCACGAGTGAAAAGGCCAGCACTGCAATGATTCTTATGAAACTGCATATATATATATATATATATCACGAAGGTGCTAGGCTTAAGGTAGGGGAGCGAACGCAGTGAGTTAAAGGGGGTGTCGGGGGGTGGTCGCGAGGTGGCCAATTTCGGAGAGTTGAACCCAGAGCCTGGTGGGGGAGAGCGAAAAAAAGAGGTGGCCACTTGGTAGTGAAAATGAGTAGTTTTTGGGGGTGTTGTGATGCCGGTGATGTAATTGACGGCCAGCAGTACATCATCAGCATCACGAGGGGCTCAGGAGGCAATGTAAGCTGTTTTCTACCAGGGGTGAGAGTTGATGTCAATGATAGGAAGGAGGGGACAACGGGATGCGACAAGTGGTTGGAACCCCTCAAGGGACTTGTGTGTCTCTTAAGACATGATCTGTGAGGAGCCAGAGTGCTGTGGGGAAGGTGGAAGACAGGCTTAGGACGTGGTAGGAACAGAGTATTTGCAAGAAATGTTAGAGTTGCTTGGGGGCGCCCTTTTTAATGGTGAAGACGCCTGTCAACTATACGCAAAAGGGCACCCCATATGGAGTGCGAGTTCATGCAATGCTGTGGTCCGTTGAGGGCAGGAAAGAGAACATCATTGAGAACAGGGAGGGAACAGAATGCAGCGGGCAAGCTTTGAGTTGCTTGGGGGTGCCCTTTTTTTTATGGTGAAGAGGCCTGTTGACCAGACGCAAAAGGGCACCCCATATGGAGTGGGAGTTCATGTACAAGCTGGGCATAGTGGGGGAGGTGATAGGAAAAGAGGTGGGGAGCTCACCAGGGCTTTCGCAATCACCCCCCATAGCCATATTGATATCTTTTACGGTGGCTGGCTTTCGTCCCCTCCCTTCTCAGGTATATGTATATGTTAAGCCATATGATCCAATTCCGGTCATTTCTACCACTGTGGCGGTGTTCCAACAACAACTTCCAGCTTGCTGTGTGTGTGCTTATGCACCACATTTCACAAACTGACATGTAGATTCTATGCACGGCCATTGCACATTGAACATTTGTGCGCTTATTCGACATTGTCATTTTAGCGCTCATAATGTTGTTCGGCCAGCAGGCCCTTGCACCAGAACATCACTGGACAATGGGGCGGTGCTCTGCAAGTGAGAAGCACATCAGGGACAGAGGCACAGTACAGAGCTGCACTTAAAACTGTTATATTGACCGCAAGTGGGCATACAATCCTCGATTCTTATTGATGCAGCAGCACAGCTAGTTTTGCTTGCAGAGTTCTTGCAGAACTATTGCAGAGTTTGCAGGGTTTCTTTTGCGGTTGAAGGTTCATAAAGGTTCATGAAGGTTCATGGGTCTTCGGATTTTTTTTGTTGACAGCTGGCACCAGCTGGCGCCCTCAGATAGGTTCCAACTTCACAAGCCAGTAGTCATCACTTTTGTTTTGTTTCAATGTAGGGGTTTGTGTTTTCTTCCTGAGTTTTCTGACCACAATCTTGAGCATTTGGCATCATTTGCCAACCTGAAGGATCCTGAAGGAACTTGTATTTCACTGGAATATTGAATTGCGTTTTGTGGCCCTTGCACCTAGCAGATTCCAAATGATTGGACATTGCAATTGCTGGCCCTTGACCATCAGCAGGTTGCTTGTGTGGCCTTTGCGTTTTCACATCGCAACGCAGAGGGACTTTCAGAGGGAAGCTTGACAGCACACATCCGGTTTGAGTCGCATGATTAGGACTTGTGGAATTCGTTGTAGCAACAACATGGCACAGCATGCGTTACGTGTATCAGTGTACCAAACAGATGACAGAGATTGACAGAGACCGACGCCAGAGTTGGTATTATTGAAGTGGCACGGATAACTAAGTTCGTATTGCTGCACAGACTGTCATGTATTTCGTCTCAGTTCAGCAGACTCACTTGGGTAAGACGGTAAGACGGATGTGGCTGTGGGTCAAGCTACGTTACATGGTGTTGGGACTCCAGGTCTTGACCCCTCCCCCAAGTTTTGCGCCGACCTGGAATTCCACACGGCTGAGTTTTCAGGTCTAGGTGAGAATTCCACGGAGGACACAACGGAGGATTCTGCAAATTTCAGAGAGGCGGCTCCAGAACGCGAATCAGCCGGCCCCTGAGAGGCGTCAGAAACAGTCTTTGGATGATTTGAGACATCAGATTGGGGTCAGAGACACAGAATGACACAGATGCCCGTCGCATGGTCATGACAGTCATGAGTCATAATTCCAATCCTTTGACCATCAGACAGACCCTTTGCGCGTTCCTTTCTTTCTGCCACACTGCCACACTGCCAGTTCCATCGAATGAGGACACCTTTCAGCACGTCAGCAGTGGTTCCTTCTGTGAAGATGGCGGCGACTTGCTGGAAGGCAACGCGCCACCAGTCTTGGTGTTTGCACCATATAGTTTTGATGTAAACCTGGGACTTGCGATATTTTTGCACACGATTTCTTTTCATGTTTTTTGGCTGTTCCCTGTTTTCTTTAACGGTAACGTTTCGCCTTTTCCATAGGTGCGCTGGACAATTATGGTGGCCTTTCACCCTTTGGAGGCCCCTGCGGCTGCAGTTTTTGCACCCTCATCAAAAACTTTGGTGAAAACTAGGACGCGAAACCACCTCCCAATGGAACGGAAGGTCCGAGAAAGATGAAGAACGGATTTTCTTTTTGCAACATGGAAAAGGTTGACAACTCATCGGACATATGGAACTAAGACTCCAGAGGTGCACGTCGTGCCAGCGCAGAAAGCTCTCTCTTTTATGGCTCGCGGTGCGGCGAGCGCTGCCAGCGGAGGCCACTCTGTCGCGACCTGGCCACATTGTCAAGACTTGGAGTACATGAGGTCGATAGGATGACTCCTTGTAGTTTCTTTGCCTTCGCATGCCTTCGCCGTGAATATTTACAGTAGTATTTACCTACCTACATTGTTGCTATTGGATGCCTGAATTTTCGGCCTCATGGTGCCAAAGGCTTCTACACCGCCTACAGTAGTGGATGGTGTCAGCTGTCCACCAGATGCAACGTGCTTGTGTGGATCCCAGTGCTCTAATTTTATGAACAATTGTATCAATTGTGTTGACGTGCATTGGGATCACAATTTGGGGGCTAAGTTCAACACGCATGTAACTTGCTGTGGCCACCATGACTGATTGTTCATCACTAGTGAGGTTAAGCAGGGTAAACACACGGGTGCTGCGAAATCCGAGGAAGTTCTGGAGAACCTTTTGCATACTATATATATATTTATTATTTATGTCAAGAAAGAAAGGACAGACATACATAAAGTAAAAGAGAGGTCTGTCTAAAGGTCGTGAAAGCAAAAGAGAAACAAAGAAAGGACCATAAAGAAAACAGCAAAACAAGTCTATAAGAGAAACTGAAGAACTCCGAGTGACACCATCTCGTGCATTGTTGGTCAACAAAAAGCACCTGTCGGGGCACCGCTCCGACTTTCCCTCGCTTTCGTTTGTGCCTGTCAAGTACTTTGGGGCATTATACAGTGCATACAAAAGAAGTCTTGCTTTATGTGGGTTCGGCGACTCCTCTCAACCAACTACCATTTGCCAGGCACGTACCGGTGATCCTTTGACTGTGACCTTTGCCAAAAAAAAGAGACCGACCGGTGTGCTTTAAAATGAGAAGAGCCGCGAGCTGCTAAGACGCTAAGACCTGTTGCGCTTGTGGGGTCCGACTACCAAGACGCGGCACTTGTTGCTATTAGCAAACATTGTTACTACTAGCGTGGCACTTGTTTCTAATAGCTTTTTGTTTAGTGAGATTTGCTGGGACCCAATTTTGATGTCCAGTGGTTGAGTATCGTACTTTTCCCTTTGGGGCCTTGGATCTCCAATTCACCGACTTTCACCGACTTCACCTCGGGTAGCTAGTAGCTTGAGTAGCTACTACCTACGACGCAGGATAGCTCATGCTTCTTCAAGTAAGCTCCCCCCGCCTGAGGGCGGAGGGGAGCTTCATTGAAGAAGCGCTTGCACTAATGATACTACTAATGATTTGGATCCTAGATTTTTGGGAAACTTAAACTAATCGTTTTGTTCAAGACGTTTTACCAAGTTGCCAGGCAAGACCAGACTTCGTGGAAATTGGTGACGAGATGATGGAAGACTGGTTTGAAGCCCATTGCTGGCAGTGCCAAGGCAAAAGCACAGCTTTGATCACCTTGGACTGTTTCAGGTCATTGTCAAGCGGCTTGTCACGAGCCAGGCGGTTTGGAGCGTTGGTGTGATGAAGATCATTTTTGGGACAACGGGTTGTAGCCAGAATGCATATGAACAGCTTCAGTCGTACAAATTGTATAGAATTAGATGCAGGCTTAGCTGCTCCTTGTTCGTGTCAAGGGCAGGAGGCATCCAAAGCCGAGATGACCCCGACATGTGCTTTGGCATTGATGAGCTGAACAAGCGAGAGGCTCGAGTGCTAAAAACTCAGGTCTCAGTGTGGAGTCCATAAGTGTGAAGCCGCACAGCTTTGCTTCCTGCCAAGCACAAACTGATGGAAGCTATGTGAGAAAATAGGTTGGAGGCCATCGCTATTAGGTTGGAGGCCGTTGCTATTGCTCTTTCTATGGAACCAATGAACCTAATGAAATAATATTTTCTTGCCAGCCAGGGTTCTTCAAGGAAACGTCTCTTGACCTGAGGGCAGGGAGCTTTCTTGAAGAATCCTTCGCTTCAAAAACTTACTTAAACGTTCTCTCTCTCTCTCTCTTGTTTGTTTCGAAGCAGGCTTGGCACAGTGCCTTGATGTGCATTGCACGACATAGCAAACGGAGAGTGGCACTCAGCTGGCCACGGCTGATTGAGAACACTCGAAATACTCTGTCTCTCTTTTCAAGACACTTTACCTTGGGAGGGATGCACATTTTGCAATGGTGTCCCTCCAAGGTCTTGTCCATAGTTCAGTGCGCAGAAATCTACTGGAGGTGGGCCGGTGGAAGCCATGCGTATGACGCTCCTCATGGTTGCACAATGTTTCACATGTTGCAATTGAATTCTATTGGACATTGTGACATAAGCATTTGCATATATTTGCAGGATCTATTTCAACCAGTCTCAACCACTACCACTTCCCTGCCGAGCTTTTGCCTAGTGGGCCAGCCAGCATGTTTCGGTTGTAAAATATCAACAGGCTTGCAATTATTCTGTCACCTTTTGCAGGGGACAGGCAAGAGCAACACAACTCATTGACATTGACATGTGGGTCAATGTGTCTTGTTTTATGATCTTCCCCTCCCTGGCTAAAACAAAATCCTAGGTCCTGCTGGACCCCGGATTTGAGGAAATTGAGCCAAGCCATGACACATGATAGCGGTCTCGCGACAGACAACATAGTATATATAGATTCATCATGCCAAACCCATCCAAATCCAAAGACCCCCGAAGATTGCTCGCAATAATTATACGAATTGTAGCCGTACCCAGTCTATCACAGATTGCACGGGTTCCAAGGGGCTGTTTAAAGGAATAATTACATTAGAATCACAAAACATCCGTAGGGTTTGTGCATGTCATGGCGGACTTCGGACGGCTTTTGATGAGCGCATTAGTGCCCAAGTCTGGGCCTCCAGATCCAATGCGAGCACGCAGCGAGTGTCGCAGGAGTCCCCCCACGCAAGATTCTTCCTGACACACGCAGGTGTATCTAGCACCTTTGAGCAGTGGAACTCTTGGGTGAAAAGCACCTTGCTTAAACACTGACAACCTTGCCGGATGAATTGATTGACAAGTCTCTTTATTTCTGAGTCATTCGTTTGACGCATAGTAGCCATATTGATGTACGTACAGGTGTAATTTTACATGAATGCAGATCGGACTGTCAGGTCGGGTGTGTCTTTTTCAATCGGAGTCGCCCACTTGGCTCTTCCAGGACCAACAGCCTCCTCCTGGAAGAGCGTAAGAGACCTGCAGAACCAGCTTCACAGCGACTGTCACAGCGACTACCAGAGATGGAAGAAGTTTGGCCACGGCCTAAGGGAGCACAAACGAGCAGCACGTGCAAGCTATGTTGAGCAAAAGGGCAAAGAACTGATGACATTTTCATGACCTCGATAGGTTGCAACTCTTTATGAGTGTGATAATGGTATTCTTTTGAGCTTGTTTTTTGTCTTGGTGAGGCCTGACATTCCACCGAGACGCTGCCCAGCACGGCCGAATTGGAGGCGCAGCGACAGCCCCCTGGCAGAGATCCCACAATTTTATTGTGGATCCCACAAGCAGACTGAGCTCAAGCAGACTGTTCTGCCTATCAGGTTTGAGTCGAGTTGGTGCTGAGCTCGTTGCAGACAAACCAGAGGAAGTTGAAGCAGGCGCCAAATATGTCGAGCTGTTCTCCCTCCTTTGGTTGGTGGAAGTACGTTGACGGAAAGCCGCATACTGTAGTAGAAGTTGGACAAGTTGGACCCCAGATTGTATTATATATATATATCGTTCAATTTCTATGAGCAACACGCTCAAGCGTTTTGGAACGGTCTTCTGTCTATAGAGCCTGTCCTTCAGGAGTGACACAAGCTGAGCAGGCTTTCTCGGCTTCAAACAGTTTCTTAGCGGCACGAGCTCGGGCCTACCGCACGGAAAGCAGCAACTTACTGTTTAAGTGGTACTTCTGAAAGCTACTTAGACCTCCTAGCATTTCGATATCTTCTTCTCATCAGAGATTGATTACTTGACAAGACTGTTTGGAGTTGCTGTTTGCACGCATGTTGCTTTGATGTGCAGATCAAGGAATCAGGTTTTCCTTTCACGTCTATCAAGTTCACTGGAAGCTTACAGGTGTTTGCTTTGACAGATCAGCAACAAGATGTCTACAGGATCAACCTTCGAGACCAGCATGCCCAAGTCACAATATGAGCTGAGCCAGCTGAGCCAACTTGCTGAGTCAGGACGACGCACGCGCTGGGGTTGGAGTTTGTGCAGCTCTAGGAATTAGTTTGGCTGCATTCGATCTTATATTGGAGGAAAACCACAGCTCCCAAGAGAGTGAGAGCAAAGACATGAAGCCAAAGAGCTGCAGGAAGTATCAGGCCCCCGATTTTGATCAACAAGACACCTATGTCCGAGGAGCCCTCGCAAGGTCGGTGCATTCGTGTCAAGTTGATTGCTTTGACTGAGGGAGATGTTTCTCCAAAAGAGGACCACTTCCTTTCAGCACCTAGAAGACGGTTCTATCTATATTTAAGGGCTTACGCCCGACAGCCGGCCAGGGGCCCAAGCAAAGGGCTTGTTGCAGTCGTGGTAGTGTTCTTGTCGTTGTTGTTGTTGTTGTTGGTGTTGTTGTTGTTGTTGTTGTGGTTGTGAATGGTGGTCGGAAACGAGTCGGGGACACTGGGTGCACAAGACCCACGTAGTGGTTGTGGTGGACATTGTGGTTGTGGCGCTGGTGGCTAGCGTGGTGGAGTTGTGGTTGTCGTTGTGGTTGTTGGTGTTGTTGTTGTAGTTGTGCTTGTGGTGGTGGTGGTGGTGGCGGTGGTGGAGGTGGTGGTGGTGGAGGTGAATGCACCTGTCAGGGAGCTTTCGATCGGTCAACTTGATGGCAACAAGCAGCCCGCAACTGGTGGGTGCAAGTGTTTCGTTCTGGCCGCAGAGGACACCCAGGGGCGTGATATCCCAGAAAAGCACCAACCACATCTCTACTAGGTCGGACGGACCAATTGGCCAGTCCAGTGCTGTTCTCCGTCGTCTGTCTAACTCTCTGGAGACAAGAGGCCCCATGCCATACATCTGCCATCGCAGACTCTTGCCCTTTCCTCCAACACCTCGTCTCCAGTGTCTCGATACCATCCTTGCAACACGTGTGTTTTGTGACACATCCGGTCCCCTGTGCAGTGCAGTCGTTTCGAAACCACTATAGATTCCGCACATGGCACATGTCGCAGCAGCGCGAAGAAGACAAAAAGGTTCAAACAGAGGTGAGCTTGCTCATTGTCGACATGCGTTTCGTATTTGGTGCGGTGAGCTAGCTCGCCTCGAAAGAGTCAACACCCATGTACCAGCACATACAGAGGGGCCAACCGAGCCTACCGCGGAGGAGATGTCACCGTTGTCAAAGAAGTCGACGATAGTTTCAGAGGTGAACATCAGGTGTAACAGGTCGTTAGGCGACTGAAGATTTTTTTTGTAGAAACGACATATTCCGGTGATTTTTAGTGCAGAAGTCAACGAACTATTTATTTCTTAAGAGCATCCTTGTTTTGCAGTGATGGAAAACAAGCTTGCATTCATTCAAACATGTCTCTCACGTTTCGTTAAGTTTGGTTCCAGGGTAGTGGAGGGTGGGCTTCCGCTTTTCTTTGTCCGGCAAAATTGGCCAGCCCACCCTGGTGCAATTCCAAGCTGACCTCTACCGATACAGAATGGCAATTCAACTGAGATGTGATGCCGTAGCAGCTCTGAGGGCTATGGATACCATGATTGAACACTTCGAAGACATGGGGTTTGCCAATACCGCCCATATTGGCCCCCTGAATCAAGCCCGACACGAGCTTGCGGACTTCTTGACCTTTGCAGACTATTTGCTTGGACAAGCGACCGAAACCCTGAATAACTGGGTTCAGTGGAGTGGGTAGCCAACGCGCTACCTTGTACCAGACGAAGCCTAGGCGTAGCCCT